CCTAGGCAAAAGTTAGAGCACAGAAAATTTGAAATTATAAAAAATGAACTCGCAAGGTTGAAAACCCGCAAAGGGCAGCCTTGGCAAAAGTTAGAGCGTAAAAGGTGAGGGTCAATACACGAGTGAACTTGAGCCAAACTACGTAAGACTTGATTCCCATGTTTGGGATACATAGGCAACTTCATCTTGAAGTCCAGCCATAAACACTTCCCTGGTCAATTTTTTCCATTTGATCACCTCGGTCATCTTCGTCTATTCAATATTCAAGAGCTCGGTCGCGATCTCCGGTGCAGTGTTACTTAGACTAGGGGCAACTTTTCAGTTGCTGGAATCCGTGGTTGTGCATCTCAGTGACAGATCTCAGGCGTGTCTAGTTCTGATCCATATCGAAAATGGTTTTGACAAGTTTTAATAAAAGTTGATTTTGTTCAAATTAATCTTTTTACAACTTAGACAATTTTTTGACCAAAACGGAAAATTCTCAGTACCACAACCTTCAATTTCATTGATTTTAATACAGAGTTCTCTTGCTCTTGAATACAAAACTGAAGTTGCTTTTCATTACATTCATAAAGAAAACTTGAAAGTTTTGATTAAAGAAAATAAATTCGGGGCATAGTCATGTGTTTTGCCGTCCCCTCCCAGAGCTGGTTGAAGCCTCTGATGCCAAGCTGGGCCCGATCTGTGCCTCGTCATTGAGCCAATCTATGCACTTATCACAGAGGGTGCAGCTAAAAATAGGAGCGGGGGCCAGAAGCTCTCTCGTCCTCCATGCCGTGGCATACCAAGCTAGTCGTGCGCCTTAGACCGGAAATATAGCAGGGTACTCAATCCCTTATTCTGGGCAAGTCTGATCATGTCCAAACTGGCGTTGGAACCAGAATGAAAAGTAGAACATGCAGTGTGTTAAGCCTATCAACTGGATCCTGGGCTGACGGGTCATGCTGTAACTCATTGTCGGCAGATTGAGCCAAGGGCAACGCCAAACAATATGGTCTGCGGACAAATTGCACATCCAGTCGTACCACCATCCCTCATTTGGGGCATCGACTAGACGTAGTCGGAATGAATAGTTGCGAGCTGAATATGCCGGACATGCGTCCACCACTCTCAGTTTGTCCATCAACCATACCTGGGAAGGGATGAAAAATGAGAGATTAAAGAATAGAGAGATGTAAGTTGAGAGAAAAAGTGAGCAAATGGTTTTGAGAGTAAAACCGAGCCTGAGGGCCGACTGATGTGAGCAATATACACGTGAGATGGGGTAGGAAACATTACCTGCAATAGTAGTGGACTCCGTGCAAACCTAGCCGTCTGCCGACAATGAAAGGCGTCCAAGCCTATCAATGTCTCGGCCAATGTCATGGTGATACAACTCTTACCTTCTCTCAAGCCCTCGGCAACTTCAATCAAACGAGTGCTGAACCCACTGGAGCTTGGGGCTAGTAATAAATGAGATAACATGCACAAGCAAAGTGCATGTCGTCGATAACCTTGCCAATGATGGTCGCCGCGGTCACCAGCATCAGAAAATCGACAAACCAAGTTCGGAATGTCCAGCTTTCTATCATGAATCAATGACCGAGCATCGTGCAAAGTAAGGCCACACATCCGTCCTAAGGCTTAGACGTGGCCGAAGCGGAGTTGAGGTAAGATTTCTTCATCGCGCTCGGATTCCAGTAAAGCTTGGAAATCCTCAAAAGTGGGACACATCTCCTGCCCACCAAAGCTAAAGACGTGTGTTACCAGATTCCAAAATCTTGCCGTGGCATAGAGGAACGGAAAACGCAGTGGGGTGCAACCCAAAGTGAATAGTGCATTTATGCCGAAACCCCAGAAATTTAGCCTTTCCGAACCATCCAAGTTGGCAATCCAAGTTGAAAGATTTTGGACAAAAAGCTCTTCCATTTGGTGTAAATCAGTGTTGAAATGAGGAAAACTATGAAGTTGAGGCTTTTGTAGAAGATAAGGTGTTGAGTGGAAGACAGGTGTCAACATTCTGGAGGTGCTTACCATTTTTGGCCGACCGACCAAATATAGTGCCGACCGACCATCCTTTTTGGTCGATCGGCTAAGAATGTTGGCCGATGGCAATTTCTAGTGGCCGGTGGCCTCTTCCTTTGGCCGATAGCCTTCCCTCTTGTTCCCTGAACTATTTATGTGTAGGATATGCTGAGAATTTGTGATTGGCACCACTTCCAATGCCTTCTGGTGATGATTTTGCAAAGTCACGCCTGTTTGTTTATCGAGTTGTTGTACATTTGCTTATCAAGTTGTATTTCGTATTCTTTAAGTCTTTGTTTTGCTTATCAAGTTGTACTTACACTTGGTTAACTTGTCAAGTTCTTTGTTTTGCTTATCGAGTTTTGTCGTTAGTTGGTTCACTACCTGACTTATTGCAATTCGAGTGTTTGGTTTTCAAAACAAAAGCTCATTCTCAGTTACATTGTTATGTAATGCGATGCGATGCATTGAATGTACAAATGCAACACTTTTTGAACAAAAATAGCTATTTCATTTCATCATATGTTCTCTTGCAAAAAGTACATAGTTTTGAGAAAATAAAACCTGCCTGAGGCAGTACAATGTGCTCAAACTACTAGCAAAAAAGGGAAAATAAAGCAAAATAGAAAAAACAACAAATCTCTGAGCAAAGCAAAGAAAAGAAAAGCAGCAGAATGTTTGGATCAACATCGATCATCTCAAGCATGGGAGTCGGTCTTGGTCCTCTTCATGGACGAGGGTCCAGGATTACCATCGCCATCAGAATCAGAATCTGAGTCATCTCCAGCCTCGCCCTAGGACGACGCTGCCTCTGCAACCGAATCATCGGGAGAGGGCTCTCGCGAACTGCTCTCAGCACGAGCGTGCCTGTGCCTGCCACGGCTGTGGAACGTCATCCCCCGCCTGGCTCCCCCTCCTCCTCAAGTAGGAACAAAAGGTCCAACTGGAGCGCCTCCCGCGACCGGAATCTGGAATGGGGCCTGAAAAGAATAAATGGCGAATGCATCGGTTATGCTACGCAGTACAGAGTATGAATACCGAATACAGTGTGTGAGTACAGTGCATGAATGCTGTGAACAGTGTATCAGTATAGAATGCAATGTCCGAGTACAGTGTATGAATGCCGTGAGTAATGCTGTGAGCAATGTATGATTATAGTGTATCAGTGCCGTGAGTGTTATGTATCAAGTGCCGTATTGATAGTGCGATGCATCAGATCATGTATGGAACAGATTATGCAGAGTTTGAGACTGCGGTTGAAAGAACTTACCGGGATGCCATAGATGGTCAACAAGTCGATGCTCCGCTGCAGCATCCCCATCACGGAGGCAGTCAGCTCCAGAGACTGGCGGGTGTACTCGATAGAAACCTGCAAAAGTGTTAAAGGCATTAGTATTCTGTGGAATATCAAGCGAAATAAAATGAAACGACTGTGCAGGATGCAAAGTGTAATAGTACATACCGGGGTCGAGCCGTAGACTCCGACAAGCTTGTGATCAGCCGGAGGAGGAGCGATGGGGATTTGGTAAGTCTCCCCACCCTGCCCTCGGCATGTCATCATTGTGGGCAGCTCGGGCCACCCAGCTCCCTTTCCTCTTCGAGACCCACTCCTGCTACGAGCCTGAGGTGCCCGCGATGCTCCTGCTCCCGTTGCCGGCGCTGCAGGTCTCTCTCGCTCAGCTCGACGAGCACCGGTCAGAGGCAGCATGAGATAAGCTTGGATGTACTCGGTGTAGTCGCCCTCGTCTCTAAAGCGTGCATAGTCCCAACCGATAGTGTAGTCTATCATCTCATCTAAAGTGTACCTCTCGGTGTGTCTCATGTGGGTAGGAGGAGGTACTAGAACTATCTGCTCTGGCACGCCCAAGGTCTGCCGCAGGAAGCGCTCCCCGAAGTACCAAGCATGGCAGACTGGTCCCTCTAACAAGACCCTGAACCGGCCGGTCTCTCGAGCGCCGGCATACCGCTCCCGAATAGCGTCAGGCAACAGGGCCCACAGCTGCTAGGTGATCTGCAAATAATATACAGTTTGTTATCTACTATTATTGAAAGTACAATGCAAAGCGAAGCTTAAATGAACTGAAAAGTTTAACATACCTTTGCGGCGATCACGGTGTCAAAGTATCGGCGGAAGAACATGAAAGACTCTCAGGGTCTCCGCTCACACCTCACATCGAAGCGGTGGGAAAACGGAACCATGGGGGGCGTCTCCACATCTGGCACTAGGGCAAGCCTAGGAAAGTAGGCATACACCCACAACTACAGAATGTAACAGAGCAGACATGAGTATGCTTATCAGATAAAGCAGTATACAGATAAAAGTAGAAATCAGAGAACAGTGTGCAATGTATGGCGTAGTGTGTGCAGCATGTTGTGCAGTGTGTGCAGTGAATAGCCAGTGTAAAGCAGATTGCGTGTGCGCAGTGTGTGTGGTGTACAGATATTGAAAAGTAGAATTGAAAAGACAGAAAGGGAATGTGTACCTCCTAGGCTCGTCAGTAGCCTCCAAGCAACTACCCGCTGCGGCGGAAAGATGAGCTCATATATCTGTAAAGGGTGGCCAGGCCTGCGCCACCCCAATCATAGTGGTGGATCCGCGTCACGTCCACAAGTGCGCTCAGCAGGTAGAGGACGACGGTGTTCGCCTGGTCGGCGAAAAGCACGGTCCCCAGTAAGAACATGATAAAGCCATGAGCATACTACTCCTCCTCCTCCCGGGTAGTAGGCGCCTGGATCCGGAAATGGTCCTCGAACCATGAGTACCTCACGAACCCTGGCCGGGCGAGAGGTGGCTGAGTGCCGAGCAAGTATAACTAAGCAGCGTCCCACTCGTCCATATCAGTATCAAAGGGGATCGGATCACCCCCTACCCCGATGCCGGTGAGCATGGAGAAGTCAAAGGGAGTCATCGTCATCTCTCCTGTGGCAGAGAGGTGGAAAGAGTCGGTGGTGTCCTACCACCTCTCCACCAAAGCAGTGAGAAGAGGCCTACTCACAGTGAGGTGCGAGAGTCCCATGCAGAAGGTGCGGAAGCCGACCTGGTCGACAATCTGGCGGACTGCATCGGGCAGCTCCATATACCATCCTCGGGCGACGATGTTCCCATACCCCCTGAAGGCATAGGAATCTCCCTGCGTTCAAAAACAGACAGTTGCAAAGCAATGTTAGAAATACAGTGTTTGAATGCGTTTAGAGTTGATGAAAGTGCAGTGTGGGTGCATGCGTTCAAGTTTAAAAAGATATCGGGTGCGGGTATGCCCTAAGTGGACTAAGCATGCGATGTATCAGTGTGTTTGGGTTATTCAGTTGAAAATGCAGTGTGTGTGCATGTGTTTGAATGCGTTCAGAGTTGATGAAAATGCAGTGTGGGTGCATGCGTTCAAGTTTAAATAAATATCGAGTCTGGGTATGCTCACAGTGAACTTAGCATATGATGAATCAGTGTGTTTGGGTTATTCAGTTGAAAATGTAGTGTGTGTGCGTGTGTTTGAATGCGTTCAGAATTGATAAAAATTCAGTGTGGGTGCATGTGCTCAAGTCTACACAGATATCGGGTGTGGGTGTGCTCACGGTGAACTACAACATGTGATATATCAGTTTATCGGGGTTAAGCAGTTAAAGAACAGTATTGACTATTGAAGTCAGACAGTCTACATTACAGAAAGTAAAGAGGAAGAGTGTACCTCAGAGGCGCCAAATGAGAGGTGTGACTCAGGCTCGCGCAGCAGAAGCTCCAGTGGCGCGCATCGCACATAACTCCTGAAGTGGCGGATGCTATCAGGAGGAAGCACGTGTATTGCCGGCCTGTAGGTCGCCGGGTCGAATGGTCGGACGCGAAGAGGTAGAAGCTCAACCTCGGGGTTCACGTCCATCTCCAGGGGAGTCCCACCTCGTGGAACGTCGTCTGCCATCTTAAGAAAGGTGCCAAAATGGCCGAAAATGCGGAAAATAGGCGAGAATGTGAAAAGTCAACCCAAAGGTCAACCCCGAGATGGTGAAAAAAATAGGAGGAAAGGTTGGAGTGCGAAAAAGGCACGAAGATCGAGGTATGACTCGGGAGAAACAATGTAGAGACCCTAATTTTTGTAATTACCATTAAATCCCTAACCTTGAGTTTATTTCAATAGAGCCCTTGAATTTTCGCTTAATTGTATTTTAAACCCTAGAATCGGGAAGCATCGCGGATTAATTCGAGTAAACCCTAATCGATCACGTAGATTAATAATCACCTTTAAAACCATATTATTAATTATTAGACCCTATTATTATATATTAATCACTCTAAAATCTTAATTCCCGATAATGCCGTTTTTGCTCGGTTTCTCGCATTTGTTTGCGCTTTAATTTAACGGGACTCGAATTTATTATTTTAACTATTTTCTAATGTTAGTATATTAATAACATATATAAAGGTTTCATAAATTTAGACTTGGTCCCTATATACTTTTATTTTATTTCATTCCAACCCTTAATTGTAATATTTCATTAATTAATGTACTTGTGGCTATTATATTATGTTTATAAATAAAAATATCTTATATATATATATATATATATATGTCTTGGAGCCCAAGTTGTGGACCATGTGATGGATGAAAAGGGCCATAATGGCAACTTTGACAATTTGCACTTAGGGAACTTAGTCCCTAAGAAACCTTCCCAATCTTTTCTCTTTCTCTCTCTATATATATATACGCACACTTCTCCCCCCTCATTATATACATTTTCAGCCATTCACTAGAGGAGTGAGAGAGAGTGATCTTGGAAAAAAAAGAGAGAGGGAGAGAGTGAGAGAGAAGAAGAGAAGAAAAGGAAGAATTGTGTTAGTCTTGTACAACAAAGGTAACCATACAACACCTCCTCTCAAGTTCTCTTACCACTTGTTTTTCCCCTCCTAATACATGCTAGTTGTATATATTTGTTGTAGTATAGGCCTACACTCCTGTATTAAGGTGTATTAATCAAGAAATGGTGTGCTTCTCTTTCTTTCTTAAATTTCCAGCAGCAAATCTTTTCCTTCTCATGAATTTATTTTCCTATCAAAACTCCATAAACTCAAAATCTGTTTTTATGGTACAATATTTGGTATGTCTAGAGTATGTGGTAATTTTTGTAGGTCCTAAGGATGCGTTTTTATAACCTAAAATTTTTTTCTAAGTTTGTTACTCACAGAACCAGAAAAACAGTCAACTTTATCTATTTTTAGAAAATTCCAGAAAAATAATCTTGAGCCCAATTTTATGGAAAAATCTTAATCTTGGTGTTATATTTTAACTAAAATTTGTTTGAACTCAAGAGAGTGAGGGGTTTGAGAGAAAAACCAATTTGCGTAACGATCAACGAATCTGGACAGATCTTGATAATTCTAAATTATCTTAAAATATAAAATACCTATCCTACTTTCGTAAATTGAGTTTGAAACTAGACTTATTTATCTACAAACTCACATGAGGCCAGGTCTTTAGGGCCAATAAAACTATTTTTTGCATAGTTATTTTCGAACTGGTTCAAATCTGGAAATCTGGAAATTTGTGTTAATATGCTCTTATTTGGTTTGCAACTCTTATATTCTATGTTTCTTGAATGTTTTAGTCTCGATATGTAATCTATGATAAATTGTAAATTTGCTTTACCATGAATAAATTACTTGTTGTTTAGTTTGGATTCGTAATTATACTGACCATGCTTTGCTATAACTGAGAACATAATGCACTTAATAGAGGGGAAATCAAATGGGATGGTAATGGGTTGTGATAATTGTATTAAATTTTATGAGATAATGAACGATGGATTCAAGAGTATGATATAGTGGAATGTATGCCATTTTTTTGAAGTCTTGCGCAAGTGTGTTTCCGAACCCTAACATGGCACGAGAGATATTCTGGCAGCTTAACGGAAATGGAAGGCATAAGGGTGGCAGTGAGGGTTTCACACATGGGAAAGTATCCCTGGAAGCCCGTTTCCTTGGGGCAGACCGTGATATCACCACTTGGGTATGTAACCTAGGTGCGTGGGCATCATTGGTAATTGTGCGGTAAGTGACACACTGGTGGTCATGCGGTAAGCAACGCATTGGTATTGTATTAACCAAGGGGGAGTCAGAATTGCCCGTGGCCAGTGTTAGTGGTTTGGTAGGAACGACATTCCGCGGGGAGTTGCCTAGAAGTAACTAAAATTGACTATTATTCATGAGAACTAAAATTTAATTATAAGCTCTGCTTAATTATTTCTTTCATTGTATGTTATGACCGTGCAATTATGTTACTTGTGTATTTGGAATGGGAAAAGGGTCGCAGTGTGTGTGTTTACTGGGCATTCCAAGCTCATGGCGTTTTATGCCAGGTAAAGGCGAGTTTTACACCAAGAACAGAATCCCTAAAAGCTTTATGGAACCATGGCTGCCTTAGAAATTAGATTGTATATTTCCTGTATTTTGGATAACCTTTTTGTATCAAGGAACTGACCTGTATTTAAAGAGTTGAAGAATTTTATCTGTAACTATTATTAATATTTTATTTTAGTGTAATTATTTGTATTTTGTGCTTAAAAATGATGTGTATCCTCTAGTTAAACCCCGGTGCATCGTTGTATTATATTATCAAAATTTAGGGCATCACAACTTGGTATTAGAGCTTAGGTTCAACCCTTACCCACGCGTTCCGACTTGTAATTAGAAACAACCTTGCTACCTACTATACTACATTACGATAACACTACTTAGTCTAGAAACTAGAAGATGTCAAAAATTAAAATTTTCTCAACCAACCCTAGGACGTGTCTTCGAATTTCAGGCATGGCAATGTCGATTCGTGAAAGCATGTAGCCGGGCGTCGACGATTCTACTATTGGTACAAGGTACTGAAGAAAGCCTTTTAGACAAGGGTAGTGGAACTAGAATTTCATAATAAAGAAAGGAAAGGTTAGATTCAATTAGCGAACCGAAACATGAAGTTGCCTAGAGCGATCGAGAGTGGTGATGGAGTCGATGGTTGAGTAAGACTACCTTTGGTGCTTATTAAGTGTTACTTGGATTATGTTTCGAGTAGAGCATTTCACTTTAGTAATTTCCTTGACTAACCACATTAACAAAACCCTAACCTGCACTTAACTGTGCATTTGGCAGATAGTGAACCATACAAGAGCAAACAAATACGTAGGCAACAAAAATGCCACCAACCACAATGATGATGCCAATTTAAATAGGAATGGGGCACCTGGGGTCAACAATCACGATCACTCGCCTACATCCGCTGCCAACTTACCCGAGAATGTTGGAAATCAAATTTTGGAAGAATTAGGAAGGCTGAGGAAAACGCGTCAGAATGAGAGGACACATCTATTCTTCGAGTTTCGCAAACAGAGACCGCCGATCTTCACTGCCGAACCCGATCCTAAAATTACTGAAAATTGGATCCGACAAATTGAAAGATGTTCAACACAATGGGAATAACTGAACACATTGATAGGATTGATCTAGCAATTTACCAACTTGAAGGGGAAGCAGATCATTGGTGGGCTCTGATTGGGGAATCTAGGGACATCGCCGCAATGACGTAGGCGCAGTTTAAGGAGTTATTTTTGAGGAAGTACTTTCCAAACACGGTCAAACAAGAAAGAATTTGTGAATTTCTGAACCTAGAACAAGGCACGATGACGGTGACCCAATACGTGGCAAAGTTCGAGGAGTTGGCGTGTTGTGCGACTCGATACGTAGAAAATGATGAAGACAAAGCACGAAAATTTGAATGGGGTCTAGACCCTATAATTCGAGGAAGAGTTTTGCCCATGCGACTTCCCACTTTTGCAGATGTGGTTGACACGGCACTTGATTCAGAACGGGAGGTGGCAGATTCCAAGAGGATTTGGAGTTTGAGGAAAAAAAATAATCATTCTAATGTGGGACCCGAAAGAAATAGTCGAAGGCATGCAGCACAGAAGCCGTATTCTAGGGAACTCCAACAACCCCAACAATCGCAGCAGCAAAATCTAAAGGAGAGTTTTTAGACAAGGCCAGCTGGGTTAATCTAGTGCTATCATTGTCAACAGATAGGACACAGGAGGTTTGAATGCCCCCAACTGGCCGGAAATCGAGGAGAGCGCTCGGGAGCAAATATGCAGGTTATTGGCGGGCAGCAACCATGGGTAACTAAGTCGGGAGCTACTAGGCAACAAAATTACAAGGCGGAGAGCAATCAGAAATCTGGGCTGGTTAACAATCAAAGGCCAACAGGCAGAATATTTGCGCTGCAAGGAGAAGAAAATGAACATCTCACTAAGTAGTATCTTGAGGAAGAGCAGTGCACCACATATGAACCCAAGGGACCGCAGTACGAGCCATGGCTAACTTAGAAAAAATATAATTAGGATATTAGTTATAACTCTTTTGGATGACCTTTTGTAAAATATATATATAGACGATGTAAATTTCCTTTTGTGAATATAGTTTTAGAACTCTTGAGTACATGCTTTATTCATCGTATTCTTTCGTCTTTACTATGTGGATGCAAACCTTTAAGAATTGTTTATGCGTTTGATTTTCAATCTCCAAGGCATGAATAGGTCCAAATATAAAATCATCTTGGACACAGATTGACTGTTTGTACACCAATCGCGATCGATGGCAACTAGAAGAATGAGATGAGTTACACATTCATTGGGACGCTTTTATTTTTTAAGGGGGATAGATCAACGTCCCTGGTTATCACAAATCAACGAACGTAATGACACCAAAAATCGAGAGAACGATCATCAGGATACATTCATAGTGAGTACGTGGACTACCACATCAGAAATTGGCAATAGGGGTTTTCACAATGAAGCAACGACATCATTACCTATACAACGGCGAAGAGAAAGAAATTTCTCAGGCTTTCAAAAATTTGGTTGACCGAGAGAATGAGGGCCATGTTAA